GGATTCGACCGCCAAACCTTGAGCGTGTGGAACAGCGCCACTTGCCTCCACGCCACCTCTGTCCACCCTAATACAAATATTCAATATAACTTAAAAATTTATTTACTATATTTTTAATATGATTTAAAAATTTATACTACTCTTAGCCGAGCGTATCGAAACCTTAGCAACTTTGATAAAAGACCAAAGGGAACCGATGCAATTTGGATTCTTTTTTTTTGGATTTCAACATCACTTTAGCTCCATTGATGTCCTCTGGAAGCTGTATGGGGTCAAAGTCTACTTGAAATCAGTGTTAGCCAGTAATAAAACTATTTCAGTGCGAAACTGACTAGCCTCTAGAAAACGCGACAGCTTCAAATCGTAGTCGTACCCGAGCTTTCCATAAAATGCCAAAAATTAGATGAAGGCTCTTGTAAGGGATAAAGTAAAATATGCAAGAAATTTCGGGTTAATGGAGGCTCCCTGGAGATGAATCCAAGGGCTATTTCCTTGGGTACTTGGGAAGGAGAACACAACAGTTCGAAGGTTTGAATAAAAGCATTTGATCTTCTTTTTTGTGACCAGAAACTTTGTCCATCGTTCGCTCAGGTCCCCTTCAGCTAATTCATGGATAATAATCTTTTTGTGACCAGCAATGTTGTCCATCGTTCGCTCAGGTCCCCTTCAGCTAATTCATGGATAATAATCGTATAATGATGAGGAATTCCCTTATAAACCCTGGTCTTACTATGGGACCAATTCTTTGGTGATCGCATGTCGCGCAAAAAGTCGCCCATTCTCTCGATTCGACCTCGGATGGTGCCTTTTGGGCTTATTGCTCGGGAACTCTCATTGGTTCCAAATTATTTGTGTCCTAGTATGTTTATGCTTGAGTAATCAAAAGATTTCAGAAGATCATCGTTATACCTCCAGCCCGGATACCGTACAACGCAATCTCGTTTGATGAGGTCCTTCAAATTCGTATCAACCGAGGACTATCGCTACATAACGTTTGCTATTCAGAGAAGACCTCAAGGTAAAAGATCTATACTCTCTTTATTCAAAAAATTCTATCCGAAGGAGAAAGTTATACCTGGTGACACCTTTTACCTTTATTTTATAAGCCAATTATCGAACTTCGATTTCAAAGACCCCTGGGTTCCAAGTAAGGGGACTTCCTTGATACAAGATGCTTAGTGAATACCGCGAACTATGTTTGGAAAAAGGATTCTATTCTGCTTATCATATCACTCACATGACGAAAATGCGACAGGCCCCTTTTTTGGACCTAGGAAGGAATCAGTGTGCCATATTTGGAAGAAGAAAACAGCCTGTCAGGAGAAACCCTTCTGTTCAATACCAATTATGAGATCCTGCAAGAAAACAATAGCGATTGGCGAGTCCCCTGATCGATATAATCCCCCTCCCCATATTTCTCATCTTTCTGCTTCAATATCAGAAAGATCCTACAGCTGTCGAACCAGTCGATTCGGCTTATCATGAGAACTGCTTTGCTTCAAAGCCTCTTATTGCTAGGCCAGGAATTTTGAGAAAAAATCTCAGGGCTTTTGTCGATCCCACTTAGAGTTGCGCCAACGCCTTCGATTTTCCGTTGAGAACTTTTGTGAAGTTTGAATGTGTTTTACCCATGTAACCTTCCAATGTATGAGTCAAAACTTATACCTTCCCAGACGAGCCCGTAACATTCATCGCCCTCGATGGATGAGATTGGCAGGCAGTATCGAGGCTGAATTCGACACGGACGCCACACATAATGTGATAAAGCCATTATCACTTGCCTCATTTTCATTTATTTGAACTTCAGATGCAGCCATTTTTCTTAACCCCTAGGAAGGTTAGATTAGCAGAGATTCTCTCTTCTTTCAAGTTCGTTGGGATCCGATTCAAAGTATTAAGCGATGATTTTCCTTACTGTGTCAAGTGGCTTCATTCGTCTGTCAAGGTCCAAGTTCGATGCAAAAGGCTAAGCAGGCATGAGCAATGAGTTCAATTCCAGCCTAATGACTCTGCTACAAATTTTCTATCGTTTTCGAGTGAAACGAAGGAAAAACCTTTAAAAATTTGTGATTACATTTAATTGTTTGACTTATACTTCCTGGAGCTAGCCAATGTCCGTTTAGTTTCCGTCCTCCCACGATAGTCGGCTTCTAAGCCCACAATCAAAGGACAAACTTGACAGTAAGATTCGAGACGAAGTTTTGCTCAGAAAGTCGCACCGGTAAAGTAAATATGTGCCTAAGTATGGGACGAGGTGTAGACGTTCGTTGACTTACGTTACCCAAATCGCGCTGTGTTCAAAGTGGGAGACAGTATGGGCTTCCTAGAGTTTCCTTGATTGATCGCAAATTCGTTGTCCTGTTCAGATTGAATTCAAAGCAAGCGAATATCTAGATTTTCCCCTGACTCAAACTTAGACTTCGATGAGATTTTTTTCAAATCTAAAACTTTAGTGGAAAGATGGGCAGTTGGATCGGTCAGCGAACTCACCGTACCTAGGCCTTTCACGCTAGAACTGTTTTTTACACGGAATGATGATAAATGTAATTGATTAGCTGTCAGTCAACTGACGCTCCGTGCCATTATCACCCACAAGTGACGGGTAAGGAACAGGAGCATTTCTAAGGAAGTAGTCCAGATATGTAAATAACATCAGTATGACAAAAATACAATAACTGGGATCCGGTAGGTGGGAACAATTGAGTTACAGAAAACATAAAATAGCTCTTTCTAGCAGGCACTACACCACGGCATTGAAAGGTCCCTTCTCACCTTTATTATACACCTTTTCAAACAAGGATTCCATCAGGAAGGTCGTCGTCGACCGATTTAACAGCACAACATCACCTTGATTTTAAAATAATGTTTTGTTAGTATTCCAGCACTCCATGACACGAAAGTATCCCAAAGATGGCGAGTTGTAGGCAAAACTTCGGCCTTGGATGGGTCTCAAACATGCACTCTTCCCTCAAGGCACCGTGCTCTTTATCCCTTTTGTCGCTAACCTTCGGGTTCCGTACGAGACCGATGTTTTGCCCACAAGTCGCCAACCTTGGGAGACTATCGCGTCGCGTTTTGTGACCAAATAACATCAGGCAACAAGAACGTCAAGTAACACAATGTCTAATTACTTTCTCCCACTTGGTACCTATACAGTCTACTTAGTGTCTTGATAGACCACCAAGATTTAACACATAAATTCAGGTTACTTCGAGCAACACTGCAAAGCACCGGCCCAGCCCAAGGGTGGACTCCACAAAATAGCTTATGTGCGGTCATAGCCCCCCTTCATCAACGAGTACACTTCGGTGAGCTTTTCAGATGTTTCCCTACAGGATAGCGACCGAGCTGATTGAAGCGCAGAAGTCGGCGCTAACTAATACTCTACCAGTTGAACAGGTCTAACTATTTGTTGTTTTAGACATCGCTATAAGCTGTATCCTGTTGGGAATTCCTGTTCTACTAGCCACGGTGCATAATCTAGACGGTTTTATGCGAACAACTCGTAACCATGGAGTGAGTCATTCTAAAGACGTCGATCTTTTATCTCCCTTTACGGTATGAAAGGAAACCAGCCATTGGGCCAGGATAAGAACTAATTTTGGTCTGGCAAAAAAAATTGAAAAAGGTAGTGCTATTCAGTGACTTTGTGTGGTGTATATAAATAAACAACACGCACCACACATTCTCATTTTTGTTTTATGTTTTTTTTTGTGAAGTTCTAGTTTACGTTTTGCACCGCCCACACAGGGATTTCCTACGAGGCGGAATGTGCTCAGTAGGGGCGGTGTTAGGGGAGACGGGCGTTAGGAACGACTTTGGGTAATCGAGTCGCCGCACGCGGCTGTCGCGGACCACTCATTCGCCATTATTACAGCTCTAGCGTTCTTCATACAGCTCAATCGATATGCGATTATTATTTTGTGCATAATTCTACTATTAGTATTTTGTTCTTGTATTTCTTACCTACTGCTGCATCCTGCTACATTCCTTCCCGCGCGACGCCCCTCTCACCGCGACGCGACCATTTCGTTCCTAACGTACCACACCCCGGTGTTAGTCTTCGGAATGATGTTCAAAGATGGTCTTAAACGACCGTCTCCGAATAGTTAGGGGAGATAGTGAGAACTGAAAATTCGGCGCCTATGATTTAAGAAGGCCAAAGGACAGGGTCTATCTCATCTGAAGTCATTTCGATTATGTGACGCATGGGGAGAGGAAGGATAAACATGTGCAGTTCCCAGATCCATCGAGATCAGTTCTCTGTATTGTATTTTTCGACTGTGATCCCTTTCAGATAGATATCGTGTCGATTGATGAGCCTACTCTACTTACGCTTAAAGCGAAATGTGATACGCCTTCATTAACGGTGACAACCGTACTTTTCGAAGGACAACTGACTGCAGATTTGAAAGACAAGCTTTATGAAGTATTCCCCAGGATACGAACTTTGCGAGAAGGTAAACGTAAGGTTTTCATTCTATCTTATAGTTTTAGAAAGGTCAACCCAAATTCTGAAAGATTACCTGATATTCCATAAGTTAGACCTTATGTAGAGTGAGTGTGTGGTAGAAAAAAGTGGCTCAGCTATCCAACCAATTGAGGCGGTACACAGTTAGGGATGTCTGAGAAGTAGAGTGCGCTTATGGTAATCTTGGATGGAAAAACTAGGGGGCGGTTGGTTATGCTATGCAGGGTAACGATGAATAGGTTACCAGAAATGAACCTGATCCCGATGTTGGACGGCAGAGAGCAGAAATGGGGACTTTCAGAAAGACGAGGTGGAGGTAATGTGGTCAACTAAGGTGTGTAAATAGGCTAGACCCTTCGCAGAATGTACAATAGGAGTAATTTGGCTTAGCTATTCAAGCAAATGAGCCGGGTCCTAATGTGCGCATAGATCGGAACCCACCTAAGTTGAGCGAACATCCGGGAGACGGGCAGAAGGATCGTTTTGTGCAATCGATTCCCCGCACGCGGCTGTCGCGAATCATTCGCTCCGTCGTCATTACAGCTCTAGCGTTCTTCATACAGTTCATCGATAAGCGATCATTAATTTGGGCGTGATTCTACTATTAGTTCTTTTCTTCCTGTATCACTTACCTACTGCTGCATTCTGCTACATTCCACGCGCGGCGTCCCTCTCGCCGCGACGCGACAATTTCGATCCTACCGCACCACACCCCGAACACCAATTCCACAAGATCGTTCAATCAGTACAAGACTTGCTTGAGAAGACGGTGACACTCATTTGTCATTTATTGGTTGGTCCCCGAAAGTCATTGTATAACGCAAATGCAAAATCAAACGCCACACCGATTAGGAATGGAAACTGATTACGTGGCCGCAAAAAAAGAGCGCTACTGCTAAAAACTTTGCCATTCCATCTTCAATGGAAAAACAATATTAGCATTCAGCTGGAAAGACTAAGATCACTCGTGGGGTTGTTCTGTGAGAGGAAAAAAAAACGTTTGAAATGGAAATGAGCAACGAAAGCAACCATTTTCAATAGGGCGGACAAATTTTGCGCATTTTCACATTTATAGTTCAAACATCGAATCCCATACCACATATCCGCCCAGACCTCGTCAACCAGAACTTTCATCCATTCCGCTTGAGCTTCTTGGTACCAGGCCCGTTCCGTAGCATAAAGGAAGCCAAATGCAGGGGAACATCCCGAGCACGGCACTGATAACGCCAAAGACTTTGCCCTTTATGTTCGTTGATGATCTTGATGAAGAATTATAAAAACATGGATGCTTCGCAGTAATCGTATCTCTACTGTAGAAAGTGTAGAGGCGATGCTTTGGGCCATTGTACCTACAGGTTGCCAATCTTAGCTTCGAGTCTTTACATCCATTTTCTACCTCTACCACATATTTTCAAAGTTGATGCCGATTTGTGCAGCTAATGTTTTCCTTTTCAGTCAACGAAGAATTCCTGGCGAAGTTGTGACTTGAACTCGAAGATGGTCGCATTGAATTCGCCGAATCCGCGAAATTGAGAACCTCTTCACAATGGAACTCCGATTTGTCTGATAGGGTTTGCAGTAAACGAAAAAAAAAACAATAAAATTAATTTACCTCATTCGCGTCTTACTCAGTGTGACATGAAGAATCACAGCCGTTCACAGTAAGCACAGCCCAAATTTTGGGTAAATGGGTAACTCTATAGGAATATTTCTGCAGAGATATCTAGTTTATTGACTGGCATGAAATATTGATGTCTCAGTCGTTGGTATCACTTAACTACTATCACGAATTAACTAAAATCATAGTATCACAGTTTATTTGTTTGACTTTCAGCCATGTAGAATATAGGAAACCGAAGACTGACTGGCGCTCTTGGAAAGCTTCTCCTTGTGCTCCCTAATCCTGCTTAATCGCAAGACCCGCTGTTCTCAGGAGCTGTTGCCACTTCATTCCATCTACGGCATCTTCTGCCATTACCTTGACTTAGAAGAGGTCCTTCTTGATCACTTCCCTCCATTTCTTCTTTGGGGCTCCGCTCTCCTTTCGCTTCTAACTCTACTGCCTTTCTCACCGTCTTGACCCTGTAGCCTTCACAGCANGCAAGACCCGCTGTTCTCAGGAGCTGTTGCCAATTCATTCCATCTACGGCATCTTCTGCCATTACCTTGGCTTAGAAGAGCTCCTTCTTGATCACGTCCCTCCATTTCTTCTTTGGGGCTCCGCTCTCCTTTCGCTTCTAACTCTACTGCCTTTCTCACCGTCTTGACCCTGTAGCCTTCACAGCACGTGCCATGCCATGGCAGACGCTGTTCTCTTGTCTTCAGCTGGACAGGGGCCGTCTTCACGACCGCTCCGGATCCTCTATCGCGATCCGGCTTAGTCGGGTCGCAAGCCCATCGACTGGACCGGGACGGTTTTTAGAAAGTCATGCTCGTAATAGTAGTAACACAGCTGCCGCAGGACGAATAACTGCTCAGAACACTGCTCTCCCCTACCTTTACAGTACTTAGACAAGAACTCCTAACCTTTACAGTACTTAAACATGGTCTCTGCTCTTCATGGAGACTTTATTTAGTCAGTTTATATTTTGTAATGTTAAATTAATAATTCTTGGTCCCTTCCTGTCTGCAGAAACCAATCATTTGTGCTCAAGGTCCAACATTGTAGGAATAATAATCACCTATTTATTAATCGAAACACTAACTAAACTAATGTAGTCATCATTATGACTTTTTCTCCTGTCCGGGCAGTTCTTCATTGAGAATATCCAATTCTTCTTTGGTAAGCTTTCGTCTTGACTTCAACAACTCTGAGATCAACATTTCCTTTTTGATTTTAAGTTCCAACTGCTTCATAGCTATGTCCGGGTCCTCCAATTCCTGAAAGAAAAAGCGAATAAGACTGTTTATTGAAAATTTCCGGATATCATCGGCCATGCTGCTACGAACAGGACTACAAGCTGGAAATTCGGCAACGGCGTAGCACGCCTTCATACTTTCGCGCCGACCGCTTTGCACCCGCTCGCGTCACAGCCCGTCAGATGCATAGTGACACTTTTAACATGTCGGCCATGTTAGGGCATGTGCTTGCAATGCAATACCGACCGTTATTTTTGATTCAAATGATCACCCCACTAGTACCATTTGCCTTTGAAAGAAGGACTTGATGTACCTTGTCACTGGCTGGTCTCATGCAACTGATTATTTGATATTCACCGGCTTTTCTGTCTGACTTGTAATCGACCTGAAATTCAATTCGNTATTTTTGATTCAAATGATCACCCCACTAATACCACTTGCCTTTGAAAAAGAAAAACTCCATTCACCTTGTCACTCGCTGGTCTCATGCAACTGATTATTTGATATTCACCGGCTTTTCTGTCTGACTTGTAATCGACCTGAAATTCAATTCGGAAAAGCCCACGTAAAAATACTATCATAAGAAACCGAAAGAAGTTGGAAATCAACGAACTTTGATATTGGTAAAACCAGCCGGCTCCAAACACATCATATACCTCATCGGATCCCATTGCGACTCTTCTAATAAACGCCATTTTGTTAATTTTCTCAATCTAAAAGGTTGATACCATTTTTGTAAGTAAAGAATCAACCGAGACATGTATCAGGATGTTTCCTCTTTCCAAGACCATAGCATCGCTACAAGTCTTTCAATACAATTAGCTTTTTAGCTCTAAAAGAGACAATCAGACAGAGACAATTGAACCCCCTAAATTCACCAGAATAAAAGGAATCATTCAGAAAGGAAGCCAAGTTTGTAAATAGGAACAGAAGTGCCGTTTTGGTAAGGGAGAAATGTTAAGTTTTGAAATTTATTCTGGTCTGTCGTCTGTCGAAAACCAGTACCATTCCAGATGGGAATTGAACGCGTGGGCGCATACATTACTGACAAATTCAATATCAGCAGCCCATTCTTGTGACCATTACACTCCGAGAATCACCCAGAAGCCATTGCGTAAACAAAAATAATACAAAATTCAGTAAAAATTTTTCAAATTTCAATCGGAATACTGAAGTTTACTTACCTACCAAAGTGCATTCCACAGGCCATTGTTCCACCAGGTTTTAACACTCGAAGCAGTTCTTTACATATATCAAACATATGGTCTTGATGAATAAAATAGAATACGTCTACATGAAAAATATGATGAAAAACTGAAGGGGGATACGGTAGATCACGCAGGTCAGGAGCCTATAAGGTAGAAGGTAATGTGGGAGGGTCTGTGGTGAAATGAACGACATTACCTACATGATCAAGCCTTATCTTCGTGGTCTCGGCCAATTCAAGGATAAATCGATTCCGAGCACAATCTTCCATATAAGGAGATCGTTCAATTCCAAAAACCTGAAACGAGCGATGCTTCATGTTATCGACCAACGTCCCGGATACGGCACCCGTCACCAACAGACTCCAAGTGGAAGGAAACCGGTAGGGAGCTCAGTTAGAGGTGAGAAGCACATTAGTGAACTTGTGACTTACCGCTCCCTCTCCATCAATGACTCGATCAAAGCAATACTTCAAACCATTCCCGCGACCGTATCCCAATTCGAGCACATTGTCATCTAGGCAGTTATCAAAATATTATGACAATTCACATAATTTATTCCATGATGCTTGGTGGCTTTCAACACTGATAGAAAAAACCACAGCAGTTTTACTAGCTGCCACACCATATTTTGCAATAAATGGCTTGAATGTTCAATGTTCCCATATATGTACTCTCCAGCCCTATTTCCTCTCAACACTTCATTATTAAATGTGTTCCCAGCATTTGACCCATGAAGGTTAGGAACAGTAAAGTTCCCAACGCAGAACGACCCCATTCACCGAAGCATTCACCCATCTACTTCAATTCATAATCGCCTGGAAGTGTAAGGAATAACGCCTTTACTATAATCAATCACGTATGAAGGATACGCCCTGCACTCCACTTCCATTTGAAATCATAGTACCGGTTTGAATCCCTTCGTGGCGAAGACAACGACTTGTGGGATCGGTCAATGTGCAAGTACATAAATGCTTTGGGCTTTTTAGACGAGCCTGATACCAATAGACGAGCTCGGAGGGATGCAAGGCTTTGTTGGCTTGAGCGAGTATCGATCCGGGATTCGTTCACCGGACTATGCGTGCGATAGAGCACGCTGTTTGCCACTAGGCCACCTCAGCCCGGGGTAAATATTATCAGAATAAATATAATTTCAACAATTCCAGGGTCGGACTTCAGGTCTATAGCTTCCAGCAACCTTAGAAAGTCTCTACGGCTCCAACTTGATCTATGGCCTTTAAAACAAATTTCGAACCGTAAAGCCTTGCTATGAAGATTCTTTGAAATCCACTCCGTATCTCTTAAAGCATTCCATCCGAAATTGCTCAGACCAATCAAGCCTTCGATTCTTCTGAGGTCAGCCTGACGCCCAGGGAATGACTAGACAATACTATTATAGATGCCCTACCGACTTCTATTTTTTGCGAGAATCCGAACTTCCGAAGCCAATGCAGGAGATGAGCATTGGAAACTAATCGGCTGCAGAAAATATTCCATCAAGAAAAAGCCATCCCTTGAAATTGCGGTGGCGATGCTGTCATTCATCGCAAATGCCTGACGTAGGAAATTCTTGCTCCAGTACTGAGCCTTTGGGTTGTACAACCCGCTTTTCTAACTTGTTTTGAATTACTGCTTTTGTTGAAACTTCTAAATTTCTTCCAAAACGATGCTTTTGATGGCTAGCCATTCGCTTCGTGGAAATTCATCCTCAATGACTGTGTTGGTCCATTGTCATTACTCATTCACTTCCAGCTTTTTGTAATGAAAGCAATCATTTTAATCGATACCGATTGAAATGCAAAGTCCAGTGTGTCGTTTGCACCTTCCCATCTTCCCAAAAACTATAACATGCAATGATTGTCTCCATTTCATAAAACTCTTAGAAAGGGCCGGGTTTAGAGTCTTTGCACATGCTGCACCAAAAGAATCACATACTGAAGACTGAAACAGCTGATCGTTCTGGACCTTGACCATGGTGATAGTGGAAAACAATATTCGACATTTTTTCTTACTGTAACCAGCTTTATGCAGTTGCACTCGACTGATTTGTCGTCCGAATATCATTTCTATGTCAATTCCATCGTCACTATCTCGTACAACCCCATTCTTTGACTAGCTTCGAGTGCCTTTTTGTTTTGCGAATCCTGTGGATTTTCGCGTTTACTTCGCCACCGCTCCACTACATATTCAACACCAATACTTCTGTAATTTAATTCCAAAAAGCCACCTCAAAATCATCAAGGTATGTGTCTTTAAAGAGCACCCCATTTTCGCAAACGTGTTTCACTGACTGTAGGAGCTCAAATCTGGTATGCTTTGTACTCCTTGGACAACCCTAATCGAGGCTGTTTCAGAGCAAAATTGCGGCTAAGTTCAGCCATTCGAAAGTAAAGAAGCTCCTTGGTTTTAAATCTCATACACTACATCGATGTAGACCATTACTTATCTCTACTGTATCGGAATTCCAGTGAGTAAGGAGACGAAAGATGAAGCTGGCACCGCTTCCAATAAAAGAAAAATTTAAAACCAAGTCGAAATCCTTACCGTAACCTGCCCTTGCTTTACACTACTATGCAACCGACATGCGGTTATCTTTCTTCTGCTTGAGTTAGAACGCAGAAGCGGGTTACGGGAAGAGATTAAGTCTATATGAACTGTTGCTTTATAGAATGGGTGCTACTATTACTATAATAGTTAGCAATGAGTTCTACTAGAAAGAATTACTCACCTTTTCCTAAATTGAGGCTATCAACAACAGCTCTATTTAAAAAATCCGTTTTCCTAGCACAGTACTTCGTCAGCGCATAGCCAGTCATAGATTTTACAGGAATCGCATACTGAGAAACAAAATATCCTAGCAGATATCAAACTAGGCAATTATAAACATAAACAATCTCAGTAAAGTACGTAGTGTTATCCTCACTTGATTAGCTATATCGCTGACAGCTAGTTTGTAAAACTCCCGCAAATATTTTGACATACAAGACCTTAACAACAAAGAATAACTGCGATAATGTGACATCAACCAAAATTTTGAAGAAAAATAGAAAATAAAATAATGAGGACCGTACACATAACCAAAATCTGAACACAATCAAATAAAATTCTTTCATATAAATATATTATGACGACAAAAGATTGTGAGAACAAAAGAATTCAATAAATGTCACAAGAACCCATAAACGTTCACCTTACTACTATTACTACTACTGCTCAATAGTAAGCAGCTATACGACCCAATCACATTTGAAAATGAGAACATATCACGATAGAAAAAAAGAGTTAATTCAATACATAAGAAAACTATACCAATATAATGAAAGTAAACATCATAAACAACAACAATAATTACTACAAACTAACAGTTAGCGTTTCGTTATTAAGCTGCATATTTTCTTTCGTTTGCTGTATTAGATGACCAGGGGAACCTGAAACTATGAAAATAGCTCGAAAATCAGAATCGATTGATGGAATTGATGACGATTATGAATGGGCTGAATGGCAAATTGGAGCCCAAAGGAATGTGGAGCCCAAAACGGACACTACTTTGACTCCCACTAGTTCCTCTGAATTCCAATTTGAATAAGCTCATTCTAAAACAGCTGATCGATTACATCTCCATCACACAACTCACACAATCAACCCAACTACCAGAAATTTCAATCTTAATATTCATTAGGGTAAAGCACACTACATCACCAAGACGTCACACCACAGATCTTCTCATTATCACAGATATATAAAATTGCCCTAATGAACAAGTTCAGAGACTGTAGACAGTAAACAACAAGGGGTCTCACAACCTTTTAAAATTACATAATGTACATGTGCACCTAATAATAGATGAAAGAATAAAAAAGGATATGTAAGGATACAAGAAAGTGACAAATAAATAATGGTACATTTTCCCAAAGGTGTCCCTCCTGAAGACACCATCCAATTTTATGGAGGCTGCTTTTTTGCTTCAAAATTCAGCACCACTCTCAGTGGCCTTTGACAAGAATTTGGTTACCACTTGAGGGACTTAATTCGATTTCACCGCATGCCATGCCCAGATGGGCCAAGAGTCCTCGCTGGCCTAATACATATAGGGGAAACCCGCATTAATACAAGTTTTTTCGAGGGAAAATTGTCATGATCGAAAATTCATGAGGAAAGTCATGGATTTCGCCGGAAGAACAAATAAATAGATAAGCAGAACTACATTCCCACCCATTTCCGACCCTGATCACAATAAACAACATGCTGTTGTGCACTGTGCAAGTTCACTCGCCTCATTTGGATAGTACGTTCAAGAGTAAGGAAAACGTATAACATGGACAAAGGGACAATAGGAATAAATTGGGCAAAATGGGAAGTGCATGCATTGGAACTAGCAATTAAATGTGCAGTTTTCATCTATTTTGTGTCCTCATCAAACGAGTACACCAATGACTCATATTATGAGCATATGATTAGATTAGGTTTTCTATTCTTTTCCCTTATTCCAGTCACCGGTAAAATAAAAGGAAAATAGAAACCAAAACACATGATTAAGGAGACGAAATTCACAGTTTGAAGTCGCTGTGATAGTAGAACGTCTTCCAAAACTTGGATCGATTCCGCCGATATTTACAGTAGATGAGCACGATTACAACTGCTATTAGTGACAGCCATACGAAGAGGAATTGGGAGCGACCATTGTATGCAAGATTTTCTAAAACCCAGTTATACAAAACAAATTTCACAGCATCTCCTCATGTTTTAATATTAAAGTGATTATTTGAAATATTTGATTATATCCTTTAGTCAATTTGATACTTTACAGCACTTTCCACTTTGCAGCAGAAGGCGCCACTCTGCAGATTATCTTCAGGGCTATTTAAACCTGACTCATTTATGGACCCCTCAACAGCAGAGGTAGTGCAACGAAAAGTCAGAGAAGTTATCAACACGGATTCATCTCATACCGATATAAAATAAAATCTCACAGAAAAATAAACTTTTCGAAACTGTGAAAAATTTGTATTGCCAACACTTACCGTATCCTTCTATGTCTTTCCATTCCCGTTGAGGACTCGCATCCAAGGCTTTCCGTAACCTTTCTTCCGTCTCCTCCAATTTATCAACCTAATAAAAAAGGTATGAATCTCGGAAAAATATCACGTTCAATCTAAGTTACCTTCTCTGCGTTGACGGCAAACTTTGGATTGAGGTGACGAGCTCCAACAGCCTGGAGCTTTCCATCCTTATACTCGTTCAGTTTGTATTCAGGTGGACTCTAACATCACAAGAGTTTTACTTGTCATTTAAACAAACAGTGTGTATAGAATTTATGACGAAATGCATAATGAACACAAATATACCCATTCAAAGGAATAAAAGGTATTTTAACCGAATACAACGTGAAGAAAGACAGTGGCAAAATATAGTTACAAGGAAATTATGAATTAATTATTGATTGATTGGGAGCAGATGATTGTCAATCCCGAACCATACCTGTACTGAATCTTGCCGAATATCACTGTAGTAGCTCAACATGAAGTTCAGAATTTCTTTCTCATCGAATGTGCCCGTGGAGTCGTAACATTGAGTGCATACGACCTGAGAAAGAAAACCGGCAAATATCGAGAAAAAAGCGGAAATGGGTATTTGTCGAATGATTGATGAGGGGCCAAAGACTTCGCAATGATAGCCAATTATAAGGCAAGTTGGGAATGGAAAACTCAAAAGCAAACAAAAAAAAAAAGAAACAGACACCAGCTATAGAAATGGCAACGTACTGAAGGTGGGAACTGTCGTTTAGGGAAGCGCGGGTCATCACTTCGTGAACCAGATAAACGCGTATTTACAAAGTTGTGTACCCGCCATAACCACATTACCATTTCCTCTGTAAACAACCGTTTTCAATTCAAAAAAGACCTGCAAAAAAAAGCTGAAAAGCCTTCCTCCCACCTCTAGTTGACACTTGCTGCATTTTGTGCGTTTCCACTTCTTGATCGAAATGCTTTGCACAATATGCGCAGCTGAAGAAATGCGCAATAAACTGATGGAAGGGTTCTAGCACTTCGTTCACAGGATTGAAAGACGGATCTGAAAATTAGAAGGTGTTTGACCGATCTGCTAATTCAAGTCCATTGGGCTAAGAAACAGCAGACATACATCATCTCTAACACTCACTGTTTGCTTCCATTTTGTAAGCCTCAACACTGATGGCATGGGCTATCGTCCAAAGCCCACATGAATAGCCTCTCAAGTTTGGTTTTGAACCAATGCAAGCTATCCATTCCACCTTCTTTGGGATAGGATTGCCAAGAGCGACCTTAGAGAGAAACCGGTTTGAGACATTTAAACAAACACTCGCAGAAGGCCATTTTCTGACGTATGCATATGAAATTCAATAAAGATAATGTGTTGCACAATGGATCCCTTTTTTCTAGACCAAATCCAATCATCTTAAAAAAGTAACTTCACCCTCTTTATGAGAAGATGAAAATGCCCAACTCAAAAAATCTTTATGGAAAGAAAATAATCCAAAACCTTGCACATATCAAATGATTGAAAACTTGCTTACTTGGATCTCATCGAGCTTTTTGGTCCAGTCATCAATTGCTACACTGTCTCCTGCTGACCACAACCATTCATTCAACCGATAGAGAAATCGTCGCATTGGAGTTGTACCAGGTGCATACTGAAACAAGAGAAATAGCTCATGAAGATGTAGAGGTGGATTACCAACCAACCTTAGACAAAGTTCGCGTCCATTGCTTCAAAGCTGTCAGATTTTCACCATCGAGAACTGCACGACGAGCGATTTCCTAAAAAATGGTTGACAATTTACAAATTTCCAGAAGTATGATTATAAACTATACGGGTCTTTACCTTATAGAGCATATAGCTAAGTGCGCTCTTCAAATCAACCAGTTGTACTTGATACTGAGTCATATCTACATTAGCTACTGGAGCTTGCGCCTGAGGCTCTACAGCGACAGGCTGAAAAGGAACTAAGTCAAATAAGAGAACAGCATGCCAAAAAATAGCATATTCTACCTTTTCGGGAAGTGGAGAGAGCTTCTGCGGATCAGATATGATATCGTTGATCTCTTTTTGTATGTCAAGCCACTTCATATCACTCCTGAGTAACGAATATTACCTACAGTGAAACATTTCTGGAGAAAAAGCTAAAGCTTGTTAGAATAGCTGATAAAAATTATTAGTTTACACCCACCTGAACTAAATGGGGCCTCCTTTATACCCATTATGCAGAATAAAAAAGGACTGTTAATAAGGGGATCGTACCCTTTGCCCACCTTCTATGATATGAATCTCCTGATTCACAACTTTGTATGTTATGTTCATTGCAAAACCAGAAAATAGCAAAACCAGCAATTCAAATTGAATTGCAAGCTATAGCAACGAAAATTGTCTTGATCTAAATGCTTTCTGAAAGTACAGGCAAGCCCCAGGCGTTCTCCGTATAGACTGAGGATAACTATACCATTCTACCCGAAGCAACAACTCATATTATTTTAACGAGCGGTCATATAAAACCAGGATAGTTTGGAAGGGTGATATCATTAAAGTGTATCACGGTTGGCCCGAACAAGAAGTTGCATTACCTGAATACCGCACTCGAGTGCCCCGAACATTTTGGATGAAAGTTAGTTCCAGGAAAAAAGAAACACTGAGAGTAATAAGTTCGAAGAAAATCAAGTAGACACTAATAACTCATTATTCTACTTTTCTTCTATTCTTGCAAAACTAAGGAGTACTCACGGGCTAGTCCAAACCGGCATCGATTCACCACGTTTGAACAGAAGGACTTTTCCATTCGCATCAGCACCGAGATGTTTTACTACTTCGGGATGCTGAGGTCGAGCCAAGACCAGCTTGACATTTCGGTCGTTGTGGAAGTTGATGATCAACTAAATCGAATGTACGCATTGAATCAGGGAAACTAACATGGGCATTGATACACACTGTGCATAATCTTTAACCTTTGACGACAATGCGGATTTCGACCTGTCGCGCCCACGGGATCACGCTCTCCTGCTTTCGTGCGCGACTGCAATTGCTGAATTCAGTAAGCCAGTGAAAGAATTTTCTCCTGGAACCCACCCGTTGGTGGCACTGTCCCAGGAGAAAATTCTTTCACTGGCTTACTGAATTCAGCAATTGGTAAAAAAACAAGAAAGTATGGTAGCAACCGAAGTTGGATGCCATTGTTTCAACGTCATAGTAGCACCCACCGGTGGGAGCCATTGCCATCAAAGTGTTAATATACTGATATTATTCATGCTGAATAATTTCCTAGTTGCAAACCACACAAGGGTTACTGAAACGTAAAATGCTGCGCATCTATCAAAAAATCGAAGGAAACATCTGTTTCAAAGCAACAGCTACTGTAGAGCGATGATAAATCAACTCCTAGCGATTCAGAAAACTACCAGAAACAAGTAAATTGAAAATATCTCGAAGAAGAAATAAGATTGTTCCACTATGTGGAACGCTATGAGTGACAGTGAAGAAGAGTGAATGCCGTAGTAGATTCACCACCGCTCTCATGCAGCGCAGAATCAAACAATTTGAAAGCTAGTTTCACATCCTCAGTAGGTTTTTACTGGAGATCCTTTTCCTATGATTAGGTAAACCAATTTCGAGTTACTGTTGACTCTGCCATGTTATCTTTAATGAACTTCGTAGACAGATTCGATCACTTCAGACACTTTATTTGAACCGCGGCCGCAAAGAAGCTTTCTTTACTTTATTTCCCTGTTTTGCGATTACTAACTAGAAAAGACATATTTTGAAATTAGGGCGACATAAAGAGGATGGCATATAATTCCCTGGAGTAGAGAGAGAAAAACATCACGACTCCCGTTTTCGGAATAAAAAAGAAGTCATTAGGTAAAGATAGAAAGGACACATTAACAACACACTTTACACTAACTAGCAAGTGGAACTTACCGCCCAAGCCTTCAACGCTGGATTCTCCTGAACAGCAACACCAAGTAAATTAACCGAACCAGCGGATGACCAGATATCATTCAGTGACTTAGAACTGCAAAATGAAAATATTTCAATGTAATAACGAAGCAAAGATCCACAAAACAAAATGAAGAAGATGTATGAGGAAGGAGTACAAATTACCTCTCAATAGGTAAAAATATATTTGATAATGGAGACTTCTGCCTATCGGTGTCAGCCTCAACGTAGGCTGCAACATCAAGTTCCATTTGTGGAAGTTCATACTTATTTCCTTGATATAACGAAGCGTCATCTTTACTTGTAGCACCCTTTTTGAAGAACTGCAAGAATAAAATGATAGAGCGAATATTAGGTAGATAAAAAGTGATTACTACATGGAAGTGCCAGGCGAACCCAAAATGCACTGCCAATAATTTGGGCATGTTTCACAAATTACAAATTAACAGAGGGGTGGTTGAATCTACAAACCGAAATGTATTCAGACACATTGGCTGGTACCTGTTGATCAGGATCAGATATTAGGAAGGACCCGCTCCCAACACACACTCCGGGATCTTATACAGGTCAAACTGAGTTGTTTTTACTCCCGAAATCCAATCTAGCGACTGAACGTACTACTTATTTATTCGCGCAATCCGTATCCTCCCTCGTGTCCTTGAGAATATTCGGTGAGTCACAACATTGGAACTTCTCGGCAAATGACCCTTCCCATAAATTGGTTTAGTTCCTGTTCCAACCTGTTCCAAAATGATTTCCCTTTCTAGACTTCCCCTCACGGCTTCTTTGCCGAACTTCTTTATATTCGATGAGCTACCTTTCTGCCAATCTTACAACTGCTGCCATACAAAATCATATCTAATGCCACTTTCGCATGAAGTTACTAAAAAACCTACCTTAATAGTTGGGAAGGCGTTCACAGAATGTTCACGACATAGTGGCAGGTTCTTGTCATCAGCACAGTTTACAACTGTTACTTGAACGAAAGGTTTCCATAAAGCTATATGTCTAAAAAACATGGGCTATGTGAATGAATAAATCACAACTTGCAATTACGGATATATACAACGTACCTGGCAAATTCTTTAAATGTTGGAGCGTAGGCTATACAAGCGCCGCACCAACTTGAATAGAACTCAACGAAATGTGCTTTGTCCTGAAATTTGAACAACATTGATCAATCTCATGAATTTTAATCTCCTTTTTTCGTTTAAACGCCCTAACGTTTTTCTTTGAAAGCATATAAAGAAGCCAGAAGACTCTATTCCTTTCCTTAGCAAAAATTTGAGGTCATCTTTTTTTAGCGAAAACAATATTAAAGATAAACGCTTCATGTCCCCTCTTCTTGCAAGTGATATTCAAAGAAGTCTTGAGGATGGGCAACTGTTTCTTTTTTGAGGCATTTTTTTACCGTCCGCTTGCGACGCTCTACTTCTGCCAGCACGTCCTTGTACCCTGTCATAAGATGTGCGGCACGCAAGGTGGGGATGTACTACGCAACGTCGCACTTCACCGAAGAAATCGATACCCTCTGTCGTAGAGTCCGTATACCTTTGATTTACCCAAGACTACCTTGACAATGTGAAGCTACCCAGGTGAACCTTTAGAGAGCGTCTCCTAAGGAGGTCGTAAACTTGATGAAATGCTCCTAATGAGCAGCTGAAGTTTATGATCCACATGGTTAAAAAGCATTTACAATTGAAAATGATTCTTGAGGTGAGCTGCATGCCGTTGGTAATTTCTAAAATATATAACACGCATTTTTAGAAGGGAGTGGCCCGGCAGCTGAAAATTCACCGAAATGACAGGTTCATCAAAGCAACACTTACAAAACCATGGGTTTTGAAACCTCCTATATTAGGCAAAGCACCCCCTTTGATCATATTCAAACTTGCGGTCTAGAATGGCAGAAGATACAAAATGTGAAGCAATTCTGCAGAACTGTTACGGGAAGAAAACAATTTGGTTGAAATTTTCGAACGTATCAGATTTGTCGGCTTTGTTTTAACATCTGTTTGCGATACGAAGACATTTTTGCAGCAGACGGAAAAAAGCCGAAGATTCCTAGCAAAGCTGCACAAGAATAATCGATAGATGTAAGCAATCATGTCAATCCACGGCACCAATGGACACGTGGATCCAGATGATACAACGAAGCAGACCACCAGACGGATGAAAAAGTAAAGCGATTCCGATCCGTCACAGCCAAATAAAAAAGCAAAGCCGGTTATAGTTGAAAAATGAACGCTGTTACGTCTTAACTAGCATTTACATGGAGTTTTCTTTGTCTGGAAAAAATTAAGTCGAAAAGGAACGTTCAGCAGCAAAATTCGTGCCCAAATCGATGCAGAAGTAGCCTTAAAACCCATCGGAACCAGGCGACCTATAGGTGAACAATGCTTTGACGCATACACCCCAATCAAAAACACGATGTCGTGATATTTGCATTATGGCACGGAGCCAAAAAGAAATTGCCTACTGCATTCACCATCGCACAAGACATCATAGCAATTCACTGACTTGGTAAACAGAATGCTTGGTGGTGGTCAATAACGACGCAAAAGCTCAGAAGTAACAAGTTCCGTGAAAAGAAAGCATAAAGAAGATATAGAAACCAAGAATAATGAACAAAAAAACACTCACAGAGTTATAAACAGCTGCATTGAAAGTGTCAACGTCGAGTTCAAGAATTGGATCGTTCGCGTCGTATAGCGAGTCAGCACTTACAAATCGGTATAGAGTTAAACAAATCACTATTAGTATACTCCTTGACAGCATTGGAGTTAGCCGCCACTACTGTGTAACCCTGAAAAGCATCCCTTAAGTATTAGCTCATTTGAAATGCATATAAACCGAAGTAATTAAAAACAATACAGTGGACGACAAAAAATAACTCGAATTTTTATTGTGGTACGGTGACAGCTAAAGTACGCAAGTGCACCACTAACCCGGTCACAGTAACCGGAGAAGTTCCAACTGTACTAGTAGATAATTGGCGTAAGTGGACGAGGGTATTTTTTTTCGGATTTCGATGGAATTCGTTTGGAAATAGTTTGTTTCGGATTGGACCTGAGAGTGAAATAGGAAAACGTCTATTTTTTAATTAAAGGGGCCCTTTAGCAAATGGAAAGACGGATTCTTGTAAAAAAGACATTGAAAAGCATGTTGCGTAATGGAACGTGGCCAAGGGGGAAGGATGGGGTAGGGGGAAGGGCATATTCGCCGCACATCAGAGAGGAGTTTGAACCTCTGTAAAAGACTTCACTACTTCTGTGTTCCATATAAAACAGCGTATTTCAACTGACACTATCACCAAGCAAAGTTTGAGGGCACATAACTTTTTGAGAAATCATTTGACTGTTCTAACTCTCGTACTCATAAATAGCTTTCTGAATTTTATAGTATCCCTAGGTCTCTATTCAAAGTTCCCCATGCATTTGGATTCCTTCTATGGATGGTCAAGAACTGCGGTAGCGGTTTTGTAGTTGGAAAGGTGTTGAGCAGAAGTGGTTTTGTAGCCAGAAAAGAATTTCTGAGATGGCGATGGATCCCCCTCATCATAGCCTGGAACGCGTTTAGAGAAACCTTCGATAAGCTTTTTTTAAGATTTCTCGGAAAATCTCGGAAAAAAACAAAGGGATACCCTCTTTCGCGAGGTAATCAATAGTAAATTGCTGGTTCCATTAATTTAAGAACAAGCAAAATAGCTGAGTCTGGATAACGGGAGAGTCATAAGCGACGGGGAACCGATTTTCGAACGGGATATAAGAGGTTCTCCCCGAAAAAGCTACGTGATTTCTCAAACGATAGGCTATACCAGGGCTGAAACTAGAGGAATGGAGCGAGTTTGAAAGAAATCCTCTCAAAAACAATTTTCCAGGGTATTGGCGAACTGGAGTTCACAACAAATTGATATTTATCTGTTCATTCCAATGGATTCGTACGTGGAAGCTCTATAGCGCTGGCAGCAGGCGCACTTTGATTATTGTCAAATATCGATTCTATTTTGTACTATCCAAAGAATACGATCAGGATTATCAAATTAGATTACTAGACATCATAGAAAGAAGTACGAGACGGTAGGGTTCGCTGTAATCGATGAGATTGGTGGGTCTTGGTCGATCCGAAGCCGGTTTGCGAGCCCCTCCCCGTCGACAAACCGCTACGCCCACACTTCTTCGAACACAACAGTGTCGGGCTGTGGCTGGACAGGCGGCCAACGAGAACAAAGACAAGTGTCAGTTCGGGTTTTATCCAGAACAGGATATCCCCTGGGGGGCTGTCTGTCAACATATGCAGCTATTAACATAGCCTTTCAAGGGTTAACCGTCCCTGAATTGTTTACCATCTGAGAACGGTCGAACCCCATAGGGTACTTTTAGAGGGCTTCGAGGGCTTCATCTGGTTCGGGACAAGGGATGCCTAAAGCTGATGTCTTATATAGTAATCAAAATATAAGCTCAAGAACAAGTAAGCCAAGAGCGTCCAATAAAGCTGCTAATACCATTCTTGAAGGTTCAAATAAGGCCTACTGTAGAATCAGTGTATAGAAGTTTTCCTCCTTATATAGCGATGCTGAAAACTACTTTTCTGGGGTTGTATGGACTTTTGCCATAGGAGTAGTCTGGTCCACTATTGTGCTACCTAGAAGGGACAGGAATCCCAGTGAAATGTGGCCGTCTGTAGGTGAACTAATGGATGCTGACTGTAAATCGACCCTCCAAACAGACTGACCAAATTTTTTCTAACTGTCATGACCTTACTACAATGCCATTTGAATTTAAAATCTATGAAAACCTGTATTATCCATATAGTAAATAATCGAAAGGCATGAATAGAATACCGTGGATGATGATAATTCATGGTAATATACGAAATAATCAAATGTCTAGCCTGATTCCCCATGAGCGAACAATTCATGGATTTTTTTCTGCATACAAAAACGTTTGTCGTGCCCATAAACAAGATTTCGTTCTATGGTTTCCAGGAGAGGGAGCTAGGGTAGATTTCATGACGTGCAGTTAGCTATATAGGTGACTCATAGTACCGTATCCTTCTAGGAAGTTTAGCTTCTTCATAGGGATGGCAAAGTACGAAGGAAAGGTGATATTATTCGATTTTGCTGCCTGAATAATCTCGAAAATCCATTCACAACCACACCACTGAAATGAATCGTCGCTTTTCGAAGTAACCTTCAATAACAGACAATTATATGCCTGACTTCTCAAAAAAAAAGTTCTTTACGAGAAATGGAGTTTTCGACTGAATTCAAGGTTTCTCAACATTAGCAGAGAATAGAGGAGCTGAGTTCAAATGCAGTTGCAGAGTGGGAGAGTTTGTCGAGAGTGGTGCATCGGTGGCGAGAAAGTAAAGAAAAATGCGCAGAGTTCGCGAAATATAATGACCCTAAAATCAGTGAAAATAAGGAAATGTACACAAAAGATTACCATGAAGAAAGGGTCTGGGTGTTATCTGGGCGAAATTTCAGCCAGGTACAACATCCCACAATGCCCCATATGTCATACTTGGGGGCTAAGGATAGGTTCGTTTCATTTAGAAAACTCGAAAGCCATTTTTATCGTGAACTGTGCCTCACAATGTTCCAAGCACAAAAAGAGCCTAGACATCCCATCGATCCATATAGAGGCCCCCCTTCTGTTCTCTCCGAATGTGATTTCCCCCTGATCTGGTAAAAGAAGATCCTGGTTCACCTTAAAAAAACAGAATTGGTTTTTGTTGATCAAGTTTAGCCAGCCAATGGTTCAAATAATGTTGTTTTCATATCGACCAACAGGTTTGTGGTCAACTCAGTAAACAGTATGATGGGTGGCACAAAAAGATGCAATTTTAAGCGAAATCATGAACTAGCAAAGCTTCAGAAGTTGGCAATCAAACAAGGGTGATATCGATGGCAAAAGGGAAGTAGCGAGATAGCTCCTAAAGCTCTGGAGGTGATGAAGGGGTCACTAACAAATGCCAAAATTCCACACAGAGGAATTAGGATGTTATGGAAACGATGACTGAGAAGCCCAGAATTATGGGGCTCCGTAAGAGCGGAAAACGCCTGATTGAATGGCTCATTATGATTCATGCAGTTGAGGCTTTCATCGTTATTAGGATCACCACTTACAACTGTCGAAAGTCCTGACAAAGATTTGAGCGGAAGTCGATTTTTCCCAATTCGTCGATTGGCTGGAATAAAGGGTTTAGTTGCCTGCCTAAAGGTAAAGGTTTTGATCCAAGTACCACACCCTTTAACAAATAGCACCCAATTATGACATGGGAAACATTAGAAACAAGTTTGAACTAATGTGGAAAGGGTTCAAGCAAGCAGCAAAGGGCACTCCTGGGCGAGTCAAAGAATTTCGTCACAGTACACATCGTTGTTTGACGTGTACCTAGGTAGGCGAAGGTCGCTGTCAACAGTAAGTGGTTCGCGGTCACGGGAGTCAGGGGAGTGACGCACTAACACCAGCATTATTTAAGGGTCAAAATCCGCTCGGGCCTTTTCTTCCTACGGGATCGGTTAAATGGTCTCAAACCCTCCTGAGAGGATAAAAACATTGACTTGAAAAAGCACTTGACTGGCTGGGGCAACACTTTGTTGTATAGGACCCAGCGCATTCAAAACGCCACTGACGAAGTGAATGGAAGTGGAATGCGGGAGGCGTATACTACAAACGGAATTGATCAACGTGGAAAAGCCTTTGTTAATTGTAGCTTTGAGGTATGAGTAAGACATTGCTTTATGTCGAAAGCTCACAGACATAAATAGGTAGGGTTCTGGGAGACGGGCAGTAGGAACGGTTTTGCGTAATCGATCCGCCGCACGCGGCTGTCGCGGACGATTTCCCTCGTTGTAACAGTTCTAGCGTTCTTCATACAGATCAATCGCTATGCGATTATTTCTTGTAGCATGATTCTACAGTTAGTTCCTTTGTTCCTGTAGTTCTTACTTGCCGCTGCATTCTGCTACATTTTTTCGCGCGCGACGTGGCTTTCGCCGCGCGCGACCTTTTCGTTCCTACTGCTCCACACCCGTAGGGTTCTAGGTCTTCGAAGAGCCCTCGTTTAAAGCGGGTTTCTATGAAGCTCGGAGGTAGCACTCACTACTTTTGAGATGATAAAATTCTCTAGAGTTGTTTTGTTCGAAGAGTTCCTATTTTTAGCAAATAAACAGTTCCAAATTCACTTACTCATTTTCTAAGATTATCTCAAGAGAGATCCGGGAATGTTTTAAAGAAGTTGAATTCACTGTTAAAAACATCAGTTGATTCTAATCACAAGATAAATATGGATGTGAGATCGTAAGGAGGAACATTTGATCGGATGCTAGAAGGCACCGTCGCTGTGAAGCCGAAAATGAGTGTAAAAATGGGGGACAGAAAAAGCTTTAATGAATTAGTCAATGCTTCTGTGCCACACAGTTTTGATGAAATTTCTCGTTTTTTCCTTGTTTTCGAGAATCAAAGAAAGATTTTTTCTTCTTGCAAAGAAGAAGAATTAGTGCTTGTTCGTGTCTACTTGCAAATTTCGGGAATTCTTATATTAAACTCAACAAAATGTGACAAACCTTCTATAGATAACTGCTCTTCTTTCTCTCTTGAGAACGGTTAATCGACTGTACTCAAACCTTTCAGAGGAGACCCAGAAACCCTCTGGGTGATATTCGGATTTGTGAACTTGACAGTTCAAAGGAATGCATCGTTCTTATGTGGACCCGTATCGGTTGTGATTTCATTGCCGATTGAAGGGCCGAAGAATTCAAGGGAAATGTC